TGCGGATCACAGCGTGGGCGTTGGCAACAGTAGTGTTGCCGAGGTACTGCGCAACCACAAAGAACTCCTGCTCCAGCGTCGGTGACAGGTGAATCACGTGCCGGCGAAACCCACTGACATGCGACTGGAGAGGCACCGGGTCAATGAATGTGATACCTTCTGTGTTAAGCAGATATTCTGGAAGAATTCCAACCACACAGTCAACAAATCGCACTTCAAGCTCTTTGGTCAGGGCAGCACTGGCATCCGACACTGTGGTATTTAGGGTTCTGGCCGACATAAAATGGAAACTTTCCATGCTTTCCTGACTGCCAATAGCGGCTGTGGTACCGTACGCTATGTCCTCCATTGCCCTCACAGCGTCCTGCCAGTCAGTCATAACCATCATAATTAAGCCGAATGGAGACAACATCACAAAATTATTCGCGTAACATTCCGTTGGGTCGAACAGAAGTGTTCCTTCGACAATCCGCTCTATAGCATAGTCCTCAACAAATTGCTTTATATAGACTGCACGCCCACCTTGGTTGCAGCGACAGATGGCACCTTGTGAATCGGCAATACCGCTGCAATCACCACCGAAGTCACCAATCACAAGATCATCGACCAAATACCGGCGCTGGTCGAAGAGAGACCTCTGAAATTTCGTGTTGTTTTCAAGCACCTCAGGGACGCTAACAGCCCGACTGAGCACCTCACCAGCAATCCACCCAGTGACCATCAACTCGCCGTCGCTGGCGTCCTTGAGAAAGTGGTCCGTGCTATTGTATTCGTCTGTGTGGTCCGACAGATATTGCGTCATCTCCTCCCGAAACCGCTTGATTGACTCATGCTTTGCGTCGTTAGCAAGTGGGTTGGTTCCCGTCGTGATCACTTGGCCACGCACAAACGGAACACCACCACTCACTGCCTCACGCCACGTACTCAATAGAATGTCCTGTAGTGCAAACGGCCCAAGCAGGTAGGCGTCAGCGGTGCGGGGGTCCGTCAACATTTTTTGGATAAATTTGATGGTGTCGTTCACACGTGCACCAAACACAATCACAGCCTGCGGGCGGGTGTCGGCGAACTTCTCCCACTCGGCGTTGAACACAGCATCATCAGCGGACCCAGTGTAGGATCCATTCAGAGTGAACACGCCGCTGAACTCATCGCCCATTTTGGACATTCTGCTCTTGGCGACTTGATATTCCGTATCACCGAAGGAAAGACCCTGCAGGTACATGAACCCCAACCGCCGCACAAGTAGAGAGGAGATAGCGTGACGGAGGAGGCCCAGCACCTCAGCGGCAGGACTTGACCGCACGAAGTAAAAGCTGGGGTTCCACGTGCGGACAGCAGATGAAACTGTAAAGGGCGCAAACGCTGTCATATTGTATTTCTCGAGTGACTTCGTGATAGACCACAAAGCAGCATCACCAACAAGGTTAGCCACCGCAAGAATATTACCGTTCTCAGTGACCGCCTGATCGATGACCTCATCAACGTTGGTGCTGTTTGCCACGGCCTTCACAACGCTCACACAAACATCTGCATCAGCAGCGCAGCCACGAGCAGACAGCGACGCCATAAATCCAGCATTCAGGGCTTTGGAAATGGCCTCGTATCCCTTCATGGATGGCGTCTCCAGATGGAGTACCTTGACCTCCTTCTGCAATGCGTTTGCTTCCTTTGTTCCACCTGCGCCCACTCCACGCCCTGCTCCCTTTGCTCCGTGCGCCTCACCCACGACGCAGCGCGGAGCAGCCAGCAGCAGCGCGACGAGGGAGAGCAGCGCCGCGCAGAGCTGCAGGCGGGGGTGGCGGTGACCAGCGGCCGGATCGTGCGGCGCCGCGGTGGTCGACTCCAGCGCTGTGCGCATCGCCGTGAGAATACCTTCTTGTTGTGGTGCTTGTGCCTTTCTGCCGCAAGCAAAGCAAGAAACAGGAGCGAGAGGGGGGCGGATGCACACGTGTGATGCCCGCGGGAACGACCGCGCTCCCCACGGGGACAATTGAGTAAAAGGCCACACAGCCTCCTTCCTGAATGAACCGTACGGCAGCGCGGCCTGTCCACACGCCGCAGCCACGGAGTCAGTCGGCAGCGATTGGACGTGCTTAGTCGCCACTGGGCGCCCCGGTCTCAAGAGTGGGGTAATCAAAGGCCTAGGGTAGAATGTGAACGACTGTTTAGCCGGCACGGCATTCATGGCGAAGCAACGTTTAAGGCGGAAACAAAAACCAACTGTGCAGCTAATGTCTTTTCTGCCATCGCTAAATAGAGGCATAGACGTAACACTCTTTGTCTCGCAGGCGGGGCGCCGTGAAGAAGGTGTCCTGGCCCCTGGTAAGCGCAGGCTGTATAGTCGACGAACCACACATCCACAGCTGTGCCGTACACCAGTGCCATGTAACGCCACGGGTATCACAGACAACTTCTTGGTGATCAATGAGCTTTCCCACCGCCTTCTACAAGGGCAACTCAGTATCGCACATCCTAGAAATGGCCGTGCCGCGGACCCCACTTCTTACCCTTACACGAGGAGTGGTCTGAGCTCCACTGTCGCGGTGGCGAAGAGTTGTTTGTGGCACGGGAAGCTGTGCAAATTGCGTTGCAACTTCTGTCAACCTCATGATTGGGGTATGTCAGCTGGTCTTTCGTGCTGAGCACGGCAATAACTTCTCTCGCGAGGAATTTCACAGGCGCCCCGCAGATGACCTCATTGTGGGAGCATGAAGCCAGTCAGCCTGGCGGCAGGGGTCTCATTTCTCCAGGGGAAATGGTGCACCAGCTTCAGCCGCGGCATGGAGCTGCGACTGGGGTGTCCACCTCGCCTCAGAGCCGGGCGCCAATGTTGGATCCACCACACAAATCAGCCTCGCTGCGTTCGATAATCGCGGGCATTGCCCCAATTGCATCTCCGGCTCGACGATATCATGGAGGGCTTGAGGGAGTTTTCTTTTTTTTTTGCTTTCCTCGTTGCCCACGCTTACGCAAGGCCAGCCACTTTTTGATTGGATGCCCGTCGCAAGGCGTGCCCTGTTCTTCTTATTCGCGCTTCCGCATCCGGCTGCAGAAGACAGACATTGAAACTTTTCCTTTCCCCGCAGAAGCACTCCAGCACTCAACTACTTGCACAGCACGCGAGCGCAAAAACTGCGGAACAGTGGCACCCGACAGATGAAGAGCTGCTGCTGTCAGTGCTACACCCGCGCATGACTTTATAGACGTACGAATGAAAGCCAACATCCACGCAGCGCCGCCTCATTTCCAACTGGCACAGGTCCCCCTCCCGGCGTCACCGCTGCAGCAAACAGCTAACTTCTTCCAGCACGCATCTGCGCTAAGTAGCAGACGTGACAGTGTTGCTATTGCAGCACAGTGCTCTCCCATACAGTAAGCAGTGACGCCTTTCCCAGACGCCCGACGACGTGTTTCCCAACGCCGAGACTCGCACGCCATCGCAGGCAACTCACAACGCATAGGCAATGGGGGACGCTCTCTGCCCATCACCCCCAAGCACGTCGCGTGACACGAGGCGTAGCAGCGCAGGCTCCATACCGTGGCACGCCAGTCCACTGCCGAGGCGAGCAAAGCACGTGTTCTGCGACACCGACGAAAGCGCATTCCCAGTGAAGTATATCCCTTTCTGCAGCACAAAGAAGTCCACAGCAAGGGCGCACAAACCATACACGCAGTCCTCGAAGCCGCCATAGTGCGCTTTGTCGTAGACGCGTGCCCCGCGTGACGTCAGCAGTCGCACTGTGACCGCATCCTGTCCGTCGTGCGCCACGAAAAGCGGGAACGAAAACAACTCGAGTCCCAGCGACGTGTGCAGAGCCGCGAGGTACGCGACGCTGATGTTGCACTGTGAGCGCATCAACCGCCCCCGCCCCTCCCCCACGTTGTGCCGCTGCTGCTGCAGCTCCCGCAGCATCACGTCCATCTCCTCCACGCACATCGTCTCGCGGTGCCGCTGGTGCACGCCGAAGAAGCGATCGCGTGGGGCGAAGCTGTGGTCGAGGAACGCCGCGACTTTCCCGCCCACAAGCGGCGAGGGGCGCAGTAAACTGTAGAGGGCTGCGAGCTCCACAAGCCCACGGCGCAGGAACAGGCCGTACGCGCCGCCAATCACCACGACNTCAGCCCGAGACGCCTGCAGCAGCGGAGCGACGCGTCGCATCACCGCCTCGTGCTGCGTCCACGGAAAGTACGCCGGCACGCGCACCACAGCAGGGGACGCACGCAGCCGCCTCGCAAACGAGCGCAGCGGCGTGTCACCCGCGCACTGGCCGTAGCACGCGAGCGTCGCTGCACCCAGTCGTCCCGTGCGGGACAGCCGCTGTTGCATCGCTTCCGCGGTGACCACGCAGTAGCGGCGCATGACGTGCGAGAAGTCGTACAGCTCCGCGTGGTGGATCCACCTGCTGTGCGTTCGAAACCACCCCAGCACGGCGGTGCGGTTCAACCGCTGCGCCCACACGATGATGTTCATCATCTCCTGCAGCTGGTTGTGGTGCCGGCCGTATGTGTGCGTGTTGACGAATATGTACCGATTGGGACACGCGAACCGAGACGAGCTCTCGCTGCCGTCGACAAACGTGACTTCTCGCTCGTGGATGCGGCGGACGCTCTGCATCTCGCCCGGGTTCAGCACCAGTGTGTCACGCACGGCATCAAACGGGAAGAGGGGCACAGCTGGGTCGTGAGGCGGCAAGGCGCCACCACCGCCCTCATCCACGCTACTCCCGATGATCTCGGGCACCGCGACGAGAAGCAGCAGCAACGCGACGGCTGTCAGCCCAACGACCAAAGTGCATCGCCTCCTTCGCACCATCACTGCAAACGCGCCGCCATCGGCAACAATACGAGCGGGAAGAAAAAACACTAAAAAAGGGAAAACATAAGAACTCGCGGGGATCCACAACACGTAGAAAAGCAATGCGGTCCTCCGTCGCCTTCACCACGCAAGAGAATCAAACTCCAACAAATGCCTCACCACAGCACAGACAAAACAGAGAAACAACAACCAAAGGCATTCCAAGCAAAACGAAAAACTAAAACAAACGTCTACCTGCGTACAAAGCAGATATACTACACACTAAGTGCATCGCAATAAACAAGAAATCCACAAACAGAGACTTTTCATTGTATTATCCCACAAGCACTTTCTTAGAAGCTAGCACGGCAACAACAACAAGTGTTTAAGCCAATAATCACTGTGACCACACCAGACAGCGCGCAGCCCATGTGTCCTCCAGGAGTCTCACCGCAGCAGCGTACTCGTCGTCTCCATACACGACATCCGTCAGGTACATGAAGCCCAGCCGGAGCACGCGCAGGTACGTCGTGGCATACCACACATGAGCGTACAGGCCAGAATGGGGTCCGTTCGGAGAAAGTAAAAGTTCGGGTCCCAGTAGCGCACCCGCGTTGAGCCGGTGACGGGGTCCACAGCCACCAGCTGATGCTGCTGCAACGCTGGCCGGGCGTACATCAGCGTCTGGTCGCCCACTGGGCCAAGAACAGCGAGGAGGTCGGAGTACGTCCCAACCGCACTGCTGATCGCCGCGGGCACGTCCGTCGCCGTGGCGTCTGGTTGCGCCGCGATGAGCTCCAGCTTCAGCCCGCCGCCAACAGTGTTGTTGCGCGACCACAGCGCAGCCTCTTTCAGAAGGCACCACCCCAGGGAGTAGAAGCCAGACAATTCCTGGCATCTACCTTGCTTCTTCACCACCGTTGAACGGCTAAAGAAAAAAGACAAGGTGCAAAGCGATACTGAGAGGAGGCGTGTGTGCCAAAAAAATAACAGCACACCAGAACATAGGAAACGTTATTTCTCACACGCGAACAGATTGCACTGCTTCATTCACATCTCAGCTTGCACTTTGTATTTTCAACAGAAGGAGCGTGTCGGCAAAAAAGGTCTGAGACTCATGAAAAAGAGAACGCACCATACTCTTTAAACAAGGTGCCAAAACAGTATATCAAGAAAAAAAAGTACTGTATACAAAAAGGACAGAGCGCATAGAAGCCGCAGAATCTAGAAGAATGCATAGAGAAGCTCTTCGCAAACTTATTGATCACTGCAGCAAAAAAGTAAAGAAGAGGAATCTGTGGGGAAGTATATTGAAGTCCCTCCACAGCAGTGGGCAGCCAGAGGCACCACTGACCGCCACCGCAGGCCATGGATACATCAGAGAGCGGTGACAAAACAGTTTGGCGGTATAAGAAAGGAAAAAGACGGCGTGGGCCTTAAAAAGAAAGTCACACAGAGCCCACACAAAGGGAAAAGCCAACATATACGGCGTGACGGTCAGTAAAATGGCATTTGTGAACCACTTGATGCTGCTACGGCGGAAAGGGGGCAAACACCTACCCGGCGCAAGACGAATTGAGAAAAAATCTGTCGAAGTACAGCACTGCAGCACCTACACTAAGGACAAATGCAGCAGCACACTCTCTCTCAATAACAGCATCCGTGATATCTCCTAATAAAGGACAAAAGACGCAATCAATGAAATCAATATACCAAAACGGGGAGGCAGTGTATTACCCTCCACGAAGTGATACTCATCAGCACGCAGCTGCTTCCGGCGGTTCACAGGTACCGTGGACTCGCCTCAGACTATCTCGAAGACGCACTGACAGACAAGACGCATACAGTGTTTTTTAGTATATGGCAGCTCTTTTCTATCAGTGTTTCATGACAATAGTGAGGAATGTGCCTCAAGAGACAACGTGTTCGTCCAGACGCCACTCAACAGCTTCGCAGACGTACGCAGCCGGATCACTGACCGGCCACGGCAAAGGGGCGGTGGCGTAGATTCGACAAGAAAACG